CAGGGCAAGATATGAGCTACCCTGACATCAAAATGGGCCAGGCCAGCACTATAATACTTAACTATAAGTTAAGAGCAGAGTTATGGACAAAATCTGTCATGACGTAAAAAGAAGTAAGGACCCTGCTGGGGTTAGGAAAGACTAACCTGGACTGAGGACTGTGGTCTGGAACATATAGTGAGATGCCCTCAGGAAGAGCCAACCCTTAAGCTTAATATATCTCTTACTGTGTTCATACAAAATGACATTGCTAGAAATATTGTAAGAAGTAAATTTACTTTAACTGTTTAAATGGATTACTAGCTGAGGAAAGGAGAAAGCAATACACCCTTGATGGAATCCCGTCCTTGAGCAAATCTCCTAGTAATCTTCAGTAATTTCCTCAAATAAGATTTCCCCTGGTCCCTTGCCCATCATCCTGCCTGGGGAAGTGGCTCTAGAGTCACTGAACCCTAGAGTTTCATGCCTGAACGGGCCTATGCACCGTCTTTTCTCTTTTGAAACTTACAATTAAAAAACTCCTCATTAGACTCACCAAGAGAAAACTCTGATAAATTGGTTCAGACCAAAGATGAGAAATTACAATACCTCAGAAACACAAAAGATCACAGGAGATTGCTGTGAACAATATTACACAACTAAGTCATATAACCTAGAAAAAATTAATAAAGTTTTATTTCTCTGGAGACTTAGTCAAGAGAAAACAGAAAATCATTATTAAAACATGTTTTATTGAATTACAGTGAGATATGCAGTTACAAAGTTGTGCGAGATTGGGTTTCAATCATACAATGTTCCAATACCCGTCCCTTCACCAGTGTTTATTTCCCAACAGTAATGTCCCAGTTTTCCTTCTTCCACGCCCTGCCCCACCCTGCTTGCCTCTGTGGTATGCAGTTTTCTTCTCTATCTGTCTCTCTCTTGCTCGCTCTTGCTCTCTCACTCTTTACTTTTGGACATTAAAGTCTGCAATACTGGTACTGAAAGGTTATAATGTATATATCCCTTTACCACTCAGTTCTTGTCCAAAGTGATCATTTCCTTCATTGCCGTGGTGGTCTCTTCTCTGTATTAACTGCCTTCTTTCACCCACCTGTGCCACTTCCCAACCCCCTTCACATGTGGCAAGCCTCCAATCATGGACCAGTCATCCTGGCCCTCATTTCTACTGTCCTTGGGTATTAGAATCATATTATTTTTTATATTCCACAAACGAGTGTAATTATTCTACATCTGTCCCTCTCCTTCTGACTCATCTCACTCACACTCAGTATAATACTCTCCATGATCATCCATTTATAGGCAAATTTCATGAATTCATTTTCCCTGGTGGATGCATAATATTCCACTGTGTAGATGTACTATTATTTCTTTATCCAATCATCTGTTCTTGGACATTTGGGTTGTTTCCAGATTCTGGCTATTGTGAACAGCACTGCAATGAATATAGAAGTGCAGATGCTTTTTGTGAATTGTGTTTTTAGGCCCCTAGGGTATATTCCCAGGAGTGGTATTGCTGGGTTATATGAAAAGTTAATTTCTAGTGTTTTGAGACATGCTCATATTTTTTTCCAAAAAAGGCCAGACCAGTCAGCATTCCCACCAACAATGGATGAAAGTCCTTTTCTCCCCACATCCACAGCAGCACTGGTTGTTCTTATTCTTTTTGACGTGTGCCACTCTCTGTGGTGTGAGATGATAACTCATTGTTTTGATTTGCATCTCCCTGATGATTAGTGAGAGAGAACATTTTTCATTGACTTTTGCCCATTTTGAATTTCTCCTTTGAGGATGTTTCTGATTATTTCCTCTCCCCATTTTTTGATGGATTGGATTTTTTGGGTAAAGTTTTACCATATATATATTTGATATAAAACTCTTGTCCAACAGGTACTGGGTAAATACATTTTCCTATTCTGTGGGCTGTCTTTTTATCTTGATCACCATTTCCTTTGAGGTGCAGAAACTTAGTTTAATATAGTACTATCTATCTTTGCTGACACTTGCTTGGCCAGTGGTGGAAGTGGAAAATCTTATTGAATTTATCACTATCATGAAAACCATGGCAGAAATTAAAGATCTTCCCAAGACTAAAAGCCTGAGAGCAAACTGGTTCACTATTAAGTTTTTCCAAAGCTTCAAATAAGACCTACCACTAATTCTTCTGAATCTCTTCTCAAAAGTGAAAAACAGCAATCATCCAGAACAGTTTTTGAGACCAAAAGTATGTTGATAACAAAATCTAATGGAAACATTACTTAAAAAGAACATCTCAGACCAATACCCTTGATTAACATGTATGTATAGATCTTCAGGGATGGAGTGATAGTATAGCAGATAAAACAGTATCAGTTGTAATGTAAACTCTAATATCTCAATAAAAACTGATTTGGAAAAAATACTAAAGATATGGGGTCTGGAGCGATAGCACAGTGGGTAGGACATTTGCCTTGCACACAGCCAAGCCGGGTTCGATTCCCAGCATCCCATATGGTCCCCTGAGAACTGCCAAGAGTAATTCCTGAGTGCAGAGCCAGAAATAACCCCTGTGCATCGCCAGGTGTGACCCACAAATCCAAAAAAATAAACTAAAGATATGATTATGTTTGGGTTCAGTTTGGTTTAAATAAAGATTTAGTGAATCCACAAAAGTGTTTTTAAGTCCAACAACAAAAAGTGCCATGAACAAGGGCAAACTGAAAACTTAATCCTGTGGAGTATCTAGAGCAAGCAATGGATTGAAGGGTTCTCTTAAAAATGACAGGATCTCTTAAAATGACTACGAGTGAGGGAGTAATAAATGGCCAAAGACAACAAAACCTGACAAATGATCTACAGAACTGAGTTTACCATGACAGGGACACAGGAGTGGGGAGGTATGGTAGAAGTTGAGAGGGACTGATGGAGGGTGTGGTGTTAGGATATTGCATTCATTAAATGTTATCATTCATAGTATTGCAAATCACAGTGTCTAAAAAATTAAATTACCATAGGATAAAAAATAATCTGGAATGCATATTATCCAAAAAATTATTTTGAGTTGAAGGTACTTGGAATACAAATTCAGGGACCTGCAGCCTGTGAAATTAACACATATACATAAAATACAAGTATTACAAAAGGAACTCAAATGACATAAATTCCCTCCTAGAAGTTAAATATACTAGCACTCTTTACAAAAAAGAGGAAACTAGAAGTCAACAGCACCCCCAAAGAAGCTTTGATCCAATATCTTTTTCCATTCACTCATTCATCTTTCCTAAAAATCATTTACTCTCCTAAACTGACTATATGTCTTCACCCCTCCCTCTACTTTTTTGAAGGTTGGGACACACCCTTCCGGTGCTCAGAGGTACTCCAGCCGTACTTCGAGCAGTGCTAGGGGTAGCACAAGGAACATAGGGAGAAACCAAGGCCTCCAGAATCCATGCAACAGCCTTTTGATCTATCTCTATAGCCCATCCCTTCCTCTATAAAGATCCCAAATTTCACTGCATTTGGACTGTTCACTTCCACTCCCATGCCTCCGCATTTAAGTAATATTAAACATTTATATAACTAGCACCAAACTGTATATATATATTATATATGTGTGTGTGTGTGTGTGTGTGTGTGTGTGTGTGTGTGTGTGTGTGGGCTGGAGCGATAGCACAGCGGTAGGGCGTTTGCCTTGCACGCAGCCAACATGGCCGACCCGAGTTCGATTCCTCCGCCCCTCTCGGAGAGCCCGGCAAGCTACCGAGTGTATCTCGCCCGCACGGCAGAGCCTGGCAAGCTCCCCGTGACGTATTCAATATGCCAGACACAGTAACAACAAAGTCTCCAATGGAGATGTTACTGGGCCTGCTCAAGCAAATCGATGATCAACGGGAGGGCATTTACTTTACTATATATGTGTGTGTATTCTTTTTAATTGGGGTTTGGGGACCACAAACAGCAGTGCATCACAGATCACTCCTGGCAGGGCTCAGGACAATATATGATCAAATCCAGGTCCATCATATCCAAGGAAAGAGCCCTATTCACTGTACTGTCTCTTCTGCCCCGGATAGATTTCTATACTTATTGTCAGGTGAATCTGCATTTTATCAATTTATTTCATAGATTTAGGCATTGTATTCAGATTTAATCAAGCAAGAATGGTAGAGGAAGTCAGTCTTATGTATAAGTAAAATACAAAGACAACAGGGCAATTAACAAATAAATAAGTATGGGGTCCCTAAGCAATTGTATAGTGAGTACTGGACTTCCCTTGTACTCAGTGGACCCGGGTTCCGTTCCAGGCACCACATAAAGTCACCTGAGCACCACCAGGATTGATCTCTGAGTGCTTTGCCTGTAGCAAGGCCTGAGTATCTCAGGATGTGGCTGAAATATACCCCCACCAAAAAATATACATGATCAGCACCTATACCAGGAAGGAAGTAAACAGGACAAAGTAAGCTTAGTAATATCCCATAGAGAAGAATTGCCAGAGAAATGTGAATTAAAGAAATGCAATTGGTTGCTGGTCTGATTTTCCCGAGTGGGTGAAATCTTGGAGAGGGGCTTTAGTTACAGAATGAGAGCACAGAAGATCAGATCCTTCCGCCTTGTGCTCCACACAAGGGTTTTCAGCAAAAAGATCCCTGGACAGCATTATCTACCAATCAGCTCTGGCCCTCTTCTCCCTTGTCTCCGGCCTTTGGTACCTTGTCTAATGCACTGGGCGGGTCTTGACTGCGGGGCGTGTCTCGTGGGCGGGGCCGTGGTGGCAGCAAGCACTCGATTGGCTCTAGCAAAGGGGCGTGGCAAAGGGGCGTGGACAGAAGGGGGCGGGGCCTCGCGACCAGTGGCTTCGGGAGCGGGAAGAGGCGGAGCTGGTGCGCTGAGCCCGGGAGGAGCCAAGGCGGGCGGCGCTGCCGCAGGAGCCGGCTCGGGAGGGGGCGCGGAGGGCGGGGCTGCCGGGGAGCGCGCCGGGGCGCGGGTCGCTGCGGGCCTCGCGTTCACCTGCCTGGCGGCTCCTCTCCGCATCGCGGGCGCGGGCTCATGGCGGCGTCGGCGGCTCTGTCTGCGGCGGCGGCGGCGGCGGCCCTGTCGGGCCTGGCGGTGCGGCTGTCGCGCTCGGCCGCAGCTCGGGGCTCCTACAGCGCCTTCTGCAAGGGGCTCACTCGCACGCTGCTCACCTTCTTCGACCTGGCCTGGCGGCTGCGCATGAACTTCCCCTACTTCTACGTCGTGGCCTCGGTGATGCTCAACGTCCGCCTGCAGGTGCGGATCGAGTGAGTGTCCGCGGCCACCGCGGCCGTCCCGAGGGTCCCGCGCCCACCCGCCCGCCTGCCCGCCTGCATGACGGCAGGAAGGACGGCGGGTCGGCCCGGGACGGTGCGGGGGGAGGAGGCGGGGCGGCCGGGCTCCCGCACCCCAGTGCTGTGTCGGGTGGACGATGCCGAGCCCGGGACCAGCCACCGAGCCCAGCCGTGACCCGCCCACAGCCGTAGTGGCCAGTGACTGATTGCACAGAAACTCCCAATCGGCCCTTGGCGTTGGGCTCCAGAAATCTGAGTAGCAACAGAGCGGCCGACCTGTTGCCTCAATAGACCGAAGGGGGAGGGGGGCCCGCACGAAGAAACCGCAGCAGAAATCGGTTTGGATTGACCCTGACTCAGGAGGTAGGCGGCCAGGGCTCGGGCTCGGGGGCCTGCGGGAGGGGGCGGCCTAGAGTCGGGGGCCCTTGGGTGGTGGCGGGGGGCGGGGGAATGCGGCGGGAGCCCCGGGAGCCAGCCCCGCGGGGCGGCAGGGCACACGCAGGCACGCAGGCCTCCCGTTTCCGTGGAAAAGATGGTCGGCGGGGGAAGGGTCCGTCCATCACCTGCCTGGACCCGCCCCCTGCCCATCACGGTCGCTGTCTCCGCCCTCGCAGCCCAGGCGCCCTGGGGGATGGGAGGGTGGGCTGGGGCGAGCCGTGGAGGAGCGAAGACGCCCCGGCCGCCCCCTGCCCCCCAACTGGGGCAAGCAGCAAGGAGGGCGGGATCTCCTCGGTCTCAGCCCTGCAGCCCACCCGGGCCCTGCAGAGCCTCTGGCAAAGCTGCCTCCGGAGCCCCGGGGCTGCCCTGTGCTCCTGCTGTCCCTTAGCCCCCTCTGCCCCCATCCCTGAGAGCGCCCTCCAAAGCACTGCCTCCGCGCCCCCACGCCCAGGCCTCTGCGGACCCCTGCCCCCTGTGCTGCCCACAGCCTGGCTCTTCTGCCCCCTTGGCCTAGCCCCTGCCGCCCCCTGTGTGCCCTCCCTGTGCCGCACAACGCCCCGCTCCAGCCCTGGGAGCTGCAGCAGCCCCCCGGGGTCCCCCAGACCCAGGGCGGTGGGGGGCGGGTCTCCTGAGAGCAGATGCCAGCGCAGGGGGGAGGCCCTGCAGAGGAGCGAGCAAGCGGGCGGGGCGGCAGGGCGGCTTCTCAGGCGCCTTCTCTCTCTTTCTCTTGCAGGACCTTGTGTGTGTGTAGGTGGTCACCCTGGCCTTGTGCAGAGCCAGACCCCAGGGGGTGCCCCTAGCCCTGGAGCTGCCAGGGAGCGGCTGAGTGGAGCATGGCACAGGCGGAGTGGAAGGGCCTCCAGGCGTGGGGTAGCCCAGGCTCCCGTTGTGGCGCGAGAGGGACAGGACCCTGTCACCCAGGCAACGAGATCTCCTGGAAGCCCGGAGCGAGCTCTGTTCTCTGTCCCCAGCCACCAGGAAAGGGGGGCACCGGGAGGGAAGAGACTGGCCCCTTCACGCAGAGAAGGGAGGGAAGACGTTTGTCCTTGCCACACAGATTAGTGGAGCTGGATCTGCGCTCCCCACCCCCCAACCCCCACCCCAGGCTTCTGCAATATCCGGCACAGCGGGTGGGAGGGGACACGGGGTTCCCACGGGAGAGAGGGGTCCGGGTGGGTTCTGGAGAATGACCTTCCTGTGGAGTGTGGCGGGGGGGGGGGCGACAGGGGACGGTGTGAGCTCAGAGATCTGCGTCTCGGAGCCCCTGGGAGCCGAGGACCTCGGCCAAAGCAGCCCCCCGATGTTCAGCCCCCAGGAAAGGGGCTAAACATCAGGGCGGCTGGTGGGCCGGGGGCCGTGGCTCCTGGGCCGCGCCGTGACCCGGAGGTCGAGGGGGTCGGGAGGGGCTGGCACCCGCAGCGCGGCCCGTTCTTTATCCCCAGAATCACCCGGGAGAATCTCGAGATGGCTTTGGCTTGGTCCTGGAGGTGGCGAGTTTGCTGCTGAGCAGCCCGCTCCAACCGCTGGAAGCAGAGCAGAGACACGACGCGACAGACCCCGAGCGGCCCCCGCCAGCCACCCCGCCCCACGCCTCCACCGGTGCCGGTGCCGGTGCCGCGCGCTCTGGGCCCACGGACCCAGGACTCAGACTTCTCGGGACCGAGAACCACACTCGTCCGGGGAACTCCAGGCGCGGAGACGCCCGATGTCCCCTCTCTCCTGCCGCCGCCGCCCAGCCGCTGCCCAGCTCCTGGGTGAGGGTCCTGCTCGCCTCACCCCCGGAACCCAGCCCCGAGCGGGCCGCATGTGCCCCTGCCGCTGCCCCCCGCCGGCCTCATGGCCTCCCTCCTCCTGCAGAGTCTCCAGGGGGGGCCCGGCGCGGCTAGTCCCGGCCTCCCGCGCCCACTCTGGGAGCCCGTCAGCCTGCTGACCCCCGCAGACCTCTGGGGCCTCTCTGACAAGAGCCACAGCGGGCTGCGGGGAGAGGCCTCCGTGGGCCGGATCCGCGGCTGGGCCCCGTTCACCCCCTGGCTGCACCCACTGGGCGACGCTTTCCCCAGCTCCAGCCTCTGCGTCTGTTTGGGGGTGCCGGTGACAGAGCGCGCGGGACTGGGTCCCCACCCGGCCTGGGCAAGGGCCCCGCTGGAGTCGCCCCCCGGGCTCTAGGAGGCAGCGTCCCCACGGGGAGACACGGGTGTCAGATGCTCCGGAGCCGGCACCCCACGCCTGCTCCCCCGGAGAAGCCTCTGCCATGCCGAGGGCCGGCACGTCCTGCGGTGGTGACCCTGGCGCTGTCTGTGGCCGCCTGGCCTGGAGGCGGAGGGGCTGCGCCCTGACCCCAGAGCTGCTGTCCCTGCCGCTGCCGCTGCTGCTGCTCCGTCCCGGGGCCCCGAGCCAGTGCTCGCTTTGCTTCCCCGTCCTCCCCGCACCCTCCCCACGGCCCCGCCTGCTTTGCGGGCTCTCCCGCACTTTATTTATTTGCAGTCTGTTTCCCAGGCAGCTGAGCGGCTACACAATCAGCCCCTGACCCCCCCAGTACATGGATGTGAAAAGTCGCTGTGGTCCCCTCTGCACTGGTCAGCACATCTGGTCAGACAAATGTTCTTGTTTCTGTCGTCGGGTCTGATTGTCTGTGTAACTTAAAGAATGTCTCGAATTCAATAAAGTCAAGTGAGTCCCAAAGGCCTCCCGTGTCTGGGGGGGTGGGGCCCATGCTGGGGTCCCCGGCTCTGAAGGCAGGAGTCCGGGCTGGGCGATGCCCGCTGGCTGGGGACATGCTGAGCGCAGACTTGGCCCACAGCCTTCGGGAGGAGCAGGGCACAGGTTGCCCCGGGCCAGCGGTGCGTCTCCCCATCAGGGCCAGGCTTGGAGTAGCCGGATATCTCGGTGCTTGCTCTGTAGCAGAGCCCAATATTAGGAAGCCAAGTCCCAGGGGGTGGAAGAGGGGAGAACGGGAAATAGCCAGCAGGGCACTTTGCTATTGGCCATTGGGGGTGCTGGCTTGTTTTTGGGGGGCGGTTCACTCCCACATTCCTCAGGGATTACACCTGGTTCTGTACTCAAGAATTACTCCTGATGGTGTTCAGGGGACCTAATGGAATGCCGGGATCCAACCTGGGTGGGCCGCGGACAGGCAAGTGCCCTCCCTGCTGTACTGTCACTCGAGCTCCAGAGTATTTGCCTACTTCTTTTTGTTTTTGTTTTATTTATTCATTTTTAATTTTTATTAGTGAAACAACATGTACATGGAAAGTAATCATGCTAAGTGAAATGAGTCAGAAAGAAAGGGACAGACACAGAAAGATTGCCTTTTTCTTTTTGGCTTCAGGGACACACCTGGCAGTGCTCAGGGCTTACTCCTGACTCAGCACTCGGGGATCACGCCTGGCAGGGCTCAGGGGACCATATGTCGATGCCAGGAATAGGAAACAGGTTGACTTTGTGCAAACACCCTCCTGGCTGTACTATTGCCGCGGCCCTGCAGGCCACTTTGTCACCAGGAGACCTCTCTGTCACTGGCAGCAGGTGGCCTCATGCCCCTTTCCTGATGCCTGCCCTGAGGGTGCAGTTTGGAACCCAAGAGCTTTACCCCATGGTAGGCGCAAATTGTTCCAGTCACAATCCTAGGGGCTCCCTCAAAGGGCCAAACCAGTGGCTCCCAGGATCCCAGGAGGGGGTGGTGGTTGTGATGAAGGCTGGCTGAGGGAGGCCTGCGGACAGCTTGGTGGGCTCCATGGAGGAGGCCCCAGGGAAGCCTGTGTGAGGATGCAGTGTGTGATCACCACAAGGAGCCAGCCCAACGAAGGGGACTGGTCTCTCACCTATAGCCAAGCGCTCCCAGGGCTTAGATCCCCTGACCAGGAGGCGCTCCTCAGTGTCGGCTGAAGCAGCTGGAGCCCAGGGCCTGCTAGAACCCAGAGCTACCCCCTCTGTCTGGGTGGGCTGGCTGAGCCCCCGAGGGTCCCACACTCAGTCCAGGGATCATGGAGCCCAGTTTGGCCGAGATGGGATAGATCTGACCATAGGCTGGGTCTGAGGCCCCCTGTGAAGGCAGAAAGTGAACTAAGGAAAAGCAGCCCTCTTTCCTGGACAGGTAAGGAACTATCCAGCCTGGACTCAAGGCTTATCGTCCTAGACACATGCTTCGTGAGCTCGATTCCCCCAGAGCGCCCAACAAATCTCCCTTTCTGGATAACCCAGCCATCGGTCATTCATATGATTTTACAGCCTTAGTAGGATTTCTGCCAGCTATGGAGAAGCAGCCCTGCTAGGAGAACCTTATTTCCATTTGAGGATGTCTTGAGCATTGTCTTTGTTCTATGTGAGCTAATCTGTAAAGCCCTCTGTGTGGTGTGTAGACCAGCTTTCCCTTTTCCTAGGGGCCACAGATTCTCCTGAGCTCTCCAAGCCCTCCATGTCTATGCAGATGTAGACTTTATTATCGAGCTCACCATCTCCATGCAGTTCTTTAATATGCACCCATTTGGGTCATAGGTGAGCTCTTAAACATGGCAAACTCAGACCAGTCTTGTGACTCTGAATCCTCAGATACAAGATCAGCTCACTGTCCCGAGACCCTCATCTTGCTGTTCCATTACCTCATCTGGTGAGTAGTGCCACCTGGCTTGTGGGTCCATCCATTTAGGGGTTGGGGACCCATTTAGTCCTGGGTCCTGTCTCTCAACCTTCCCACTGCCTGTACAGGTGTAGTCAGAGGTGTCTACCTCATCCGTCACTCTCACCCATTTAAGGCCAGACCAGACATGTGTTGGCATAGAGCTGGCACGAATGTACCTCAACCCTCCATTGAAAGACCCCACGTATTTGTGAGGAAGCTCCTTGAATGCTTTGAGCCTCCATTCATCCTCTCATCTTTCATTCTGGGGGCAAATTCCTAGAGTGTCTGAACTCATGTATCCCTCCCTCTCAGATTTTTCTTTAATTCAGGGCCATCCAAAAGGAGGAATCCACCCAGTCAACATCCTCTGATCATGTCATAGAGCTCCCCTGCTGGCTTGCCGCCTCCTCAGTCTCAATCAAATCTCCTGGCACATTTTATAGTACAGCTTGGCCACCTCAGCCACTGGTCTGAGTCTCAGGTGGACCCATGGTCTCTCTGTGAAGCCCCAAAGCAGACTCCTCAGCGGCCATGACAAGCTGCAGCTAACATTAAATCTCAGCTAGGCCAAAGTAGAACTGCAGTTTCTGGTAAACTCCCAATTGAGTAATTCACCTAGATAAGAAACTGGGCATTTGGATCTGGCTAGTCATGAGGGATCACCACACCCTTCTTGGAAAGAACCCCAAGCCGTTACTGGTACCTGCTGTCTAATTGCTGACCACTGTTGTAACAGGGCAATGTTAAAAATAGATCCGTATATAAACCACTTCTTGACGGAACCCCATATAAACTGCTTGTGAGTTGAAGTCGAGGTCCTTGTCAAGACTCCACTGTGTTGGATGAGACTTGGACCCTAGCTTGGGGTAGCGCTGGCTCGGGCTAGTAATAAAGTTCCGTTGCTTTTGTATTATCATGTGTGGAACTGGGTCTCACCAAAGTTGGGTATCTAAAACTTGGACAAAATATACCAATGATAATAGTCTGCTCCAGCTCTCATCATTTGGCAGGCTAAAGAGTAAATACATTAACTTCCTCATGTTGGTGCCATCTTTGATCTGAAACCTGTCACAATCTTGCCTCTCTCTTTTCTAAACCTTCATATAGAAATTTAAAAAAAAATTTAGGGGCTGGAGCAAGAGCACAGTGGGTAGGGCGTTTGCCTTGCACGCGGCCAACCCGGGTTCGATTCCCAGCATCCCATATGGTCCCCTGAGCACCGCCAGGAGTAATTCCTTCATGCAGAACCAGGAGTAACCCATGAGCATTGCTAGGTGTGACCCCAAAAGCAAAAAAAATAAAAGAAACTTAAAAAAATTATCGATCACCGTGAAACAATGCTCAAATACCCATTCCTCCACCAGTGCACATTTTCCACCACCATTGTTCCCAGTGTCTCACCTGCCATCCCCACCCTAACCCACTTCCTGCCTCTGTGGCATGTACAATCCTTCTTACTCTCTCTCTCTCTCTCTCTCTCTAATTTTGGGATTTATGATTTGCAATACAGAAACTAAGAGGTCATCGTGTTTGGTCCTTGGTCTACTTTCAGCATGCATCTCCCATCCCGGGTGATCCCTCCAATCATCATCTACTTAGTGGTTCCTTCTCCATCCCAACTGCCTTTCCCCCCAGCACTTGGGACCTGCTTCCCCACCATGGCGTTTGGAAGCCCTTATCTGGCCCTTATCTCTACTCTCCTGAGGTGTTAGTCTCATGTTATGCTACATTATATTCCACAAAATAAGTGCAGTCTTTTTTATGTCTGTTCCTCTCTTTCTGACTAACTTCACTTAGCATGATACTCTCCATATCTATCCACTTATATGCGAATTTTATGATTTCATCTTGTGAGGCTGAAGTGGAGCCATGACAGGCTCCAATTTAAGACCAAAACTCAACAGACCTAAGTTTCAATTTCCTGTATCAAAAAGTCCCAACTTCTCAGAAAACAATATCATCCTGGGCCGATAAACTGCCCCATAGCAACAGCCTATCAGAATAGGGG